GCCAAGGTCTGTTTCACCAGGAAGACTACATGGTGGTGTGAGGAGTTGGTTGACTAAGACTGTGGAGTTAGGTATGAAATTAAAATCCAAGTTCCCAACCACTTATGTTAGAGTCCCCTAGGCAACCACTTAGCCTTCCAGTTTCCTCAGCCGTAAAATGGAGATGATACATGCCTTACAGGTTGCTGTAAGGAGGAAGATAGTATTTATGGAAATTCTGACATACAGTTTGAACCCAAAAACTATGATTTCTTTTTCTCTTGTCTGAATGGGAGCATAAAACCAATCCTGAGCACCCCCCAAACTAGCAGGTTCCTTGGGAGGATTCTTGAGAGCAGCTACATATTAGCCACAAGGATTTGCCAAGTTGTTCTTCTTCATGATAGAACTATTTTCCTATCAAAACATAAATTTCATACTTCATTTGCCAAATGAGCTGCTTTAGCCAAAACTCAGCATGACTTGTGACTACAAAGTAATCTGACAGCTCTCACAGTGAATACTTAACTTATCCATGAAAGCAGTTTTCCCATCAAAGTAATCACCTTGGAAAACTTTACCCAAAATGCTTAACACATTTCTGGAACTCCTCTGTGGACACTGGAATCTCTATCACATTCTCTAAAATGACCTTAAATTGGCAAATATTCATGTTGCCAGGATAAATTTGGTTTTTAAAAAGAGCTGCCAATTACTCAGAAGTGAATTTCTCAGACTGGTGACTATGTTAGCTGATTAGCCAGATTAACATATCTAGTTAATAGGGTGAGATTATAATAAAACAATGATAATTATTTTAATGTGGCTCATAAATTGGTCTTGATAGTATTGTATATTAAGGTTAAGTAAAGGCAGCAATGGTCACGGTAGAGATTAAAGGCCATTTTAGTTGGTTTATGATGTGAATGAATTCAGATAGCACTGGGAGTCATTATATATTTAAATTGTATTAAATGTTTCTTTTTATGAAAATCTTAATTATGACATTCTCTGAAATCTGATTTCATAGTATTAAAATGAGGCTTTAAGGAAAAACATTAAATGGTAATGAAAGCTTTATTCTTTCAGTATGTGGTCTCGTGGGCTTTTGGTCAAGATAAGTAATGATCAGATGAATGAGCTGGCAACCTTCCTGCCCTCTGAAGTCTACCAGTAATTGGAAGCTAAGTAAAATGTTGTCACGTGTTTAAATACATTTAATAATATTCCTCTGTGTCTGCACAATGTGTCTTCCGTGTCCTGGGCAATGAAATACCACAGCCTTTTAACAGTGAGGAAGAATTTCCAAAAAGCCATTTCTACTCAGCGGGCAGAGACACTGTTTGCCTCCATCCACGTTCACTTTCCCCACCGTGTCTGCTCTCCGTCCCCCAAGGGCTCTTTGATTTACATGTTCTCCATGAACTCCAGTTTCCAGTGACCTGATGCATGTTGCATTTTTTTTTCCAGTGCAGTCCTGTACCACGTAGCAATGTTTTGGTCAATGACAGACTGCATATACAACAGTCATGTCATAAAATTATTATTCTGTATTTTGTCTATACCTTTTCTGTGTTAGATACACAAATACTTACCATTGTGTTACACCACGAATTGCCTATAGTATTCAGCACAGTAACATGCTGTGTGGGTCTGTCGCCCAGGAGCAATAGGTATACTGCACAGCCTCAGCATGTTGTAGGCTGTGTGGTCTACCCCATCCAGGTGTGTGTGAGCGCACTGATGTTCACACACACTGCCTAACAATACATTTCTCAGAATGTACCCCCACTGTTAAGCAAAGCATGACTGAACTTAAATAATCTATGGCTCAGATTTAGAACCATAAAACCCAAGATGCTGGGGAAACTACCTTCAACTGTCTGTAGGGGTCAGGTCCATAAGTGCTTTCTGGCTGCTTGCCAAGCACATGCCTCTGTCCTGCAGCTTTATAAGGTGGCTTTTGTACACCATCTCTGACACCTCCTCCATTACATTCCCTTGAGATTTCTATCTTCTTTTGCCTGCTCTTTGAAAATATGTCAAATTAATAATCTTTCACATGACAAGCTGGAGGATTTTTGAGTTGGGTGAACAATAACTTCTCATAAGTTCATGGCTAAAATAAAAATAAAACATCAGAAGTAAAAAACTTTTCATTCTGTGAGGATAAGCGTGCTTCCTCAAGCTACTTAACAGTAGAAAACCATTTCTATTTTACTCTCATGTTGATGGCTTATTCTGTTCCCAACTTGTCAGCTTCTCATGTTCGGGCAAAAACATTAGATATTAGATTTCATAAACTTCAGCAAATTGCAGCCCATTTAAACATTTAAAAGCTGGCTGGGACGGTGGCTCACACCTGTAATCTTAGCACTCGGGGAGGCTAGAGCAGAGGGATCACTGGAGCTCAGGAGTTCCAGACCAGCCTGAGCAAGAGCAACACCCCATCTCTACTGAAATTAGAAATATTAGTCAGGCACTGCAGCATGTGCCTGTAATCCCAGCAACTCAGGAGGCTGAGGCAAGAGGATCGCTTGAGCCCAGGAGTTTGTGGTTGCCATGAGATACCACAATGCCTCAGCACTCTATTGAGGGTGATAGAGCAAGACTCTGTCTAAAAAAAAGTAAAAGCCATTAAACTAGTAAATTTTTACTGTGTGAATAAACTAATATTTAAAATATTAGACACAAAACAATTTTATGCCGAGTCCAAATTGTACATGATTCTTATTTATGCTTCTAAACAAGTAGAAGCTCACATTTGTACTATTTCTACAGTTTACAAAATGCTTTTTGTATACATTTCCCCATTTGCTATTCAACACAAACATGTGGATAAATATTCTTATTTTACAGATGGAAATAAACCCAGACATTATTCAGTACTTTAACCAGTATATACTGTAGCCCTGAGACGTTAGATCTGCAAAAGGGTTTAATAATGCAAAAACCACATATATTTAAATTTTTATCACCATTTTTGAGTTCCTAATTTTTTTTGAGTTTACCATTTTTTTTTAACAAAAGAAAACTGTGAGAAAAAGTTTTTCCCAATAAAATAATGGAAAATATTATAGTCCATCTATACTCACCCAATGAGTAATATTTGCCAGTAGCAAAAAATCTCTTTGGGGGATTCTAATTCTATATTGTTACCTATCTATATACAGAGCACTAGCACCAGTATCATATTTAGACCAGTAATTTTTTCCCCTGTTTTAGAGAAAATAATGCAGGGTACTCCTGCTGCCTCCAAGTCTATGTACATATATATATGTTAGACTGTGTTGCTGGACAGAAAGGACACAGAAAGATACCTCATCCACATTTGGAGTTACAAGGCCTAACTATGCCAGCAGAAACCTTGTAGTCTGTTCCTGTATCTTATATGTCATCACAATTTATTTTTCTTTCCTCATTTCTCTTTCGGCCTATATCCTTTAGATTGGAAATTCTAATACATAGCCTTTCTTTCTGAATTACCTTCACTACTGTGTAATTTTTATTTTCAGAATTTTCCTTTCCTTATTTTTTTTTTTAGAGACAGAGTCTCACTTTGTCGCCTTCGGTAGAGTGCTGTAGCATCACAGCTCACAGCAACCTCCAGGTCTTGGGCTTAGGCAATTCTCTTGCCTCAGCCTCCCGAGTAGCTGAGATTACAGATGCCCACCACAATGCCTGGCTATTTTTTGTTGCAGTTTGGCCAGGGCCAGGTTCAAAACCGCCACCCTCAGTATATGGGGCCAGTGCCCTACTCACCGAGCCACTGGCACCACCCCTTTCCTTATTTCTAAACCTCAGAGACATTTCTTTATAGAAGATGGGGAAGCTGTAGCTTATATTCACTGCCAGAAAAGGGTCAATTCCAGTGTTAATTTCCCAGCAAACAGCTGGGAGAAAAATTGAACAGAAAAGGAAAGAATAGTGATAGCCAGCAGAGCAGTGACACCTGCAACCCAGAAAGCTGCACTACAATTCAGTATTTGAGGCTCTCCTGTTACTGTACTGCTGACTCAGGGAAAATTCTGGCTGGTTGCAAATTCAGAGTGTATCAGTATATTTAAATCACTGGCTTAACAAATCACTCTTTTTAATGTTACAGTGTTTTTATTGCATTTGGATATATGTTCAATAAATATGCTGAGGCCTTGGCTAGGTTTTCCTTTTGGACTAGAAATCAGATTTCTCTGACACAATTCCATTGCCCACAATGGTATTTTTATCAACCCTCAAATGCCAGCACATTGAATATTTCAATACTCTACTCATTGTTCCTATCTAAATAGCTCCATTATCTAAGAAACAAAATCAAATGTAAATACTGAATATACAGTACAAATCAACAGATTCTTCACAGAAGAAAGAATAAAAGACTAATCTACTACAATATATCACCTGTTCATTAGTTCTTCAATAATATATCTTAGCACAGGCTTCTGCAAGGCCAATGAAATGTATGCAAATTTACTACTATCCATGTTTTCTTGACTTTTTAAACTTATTTTTTTGAGACAGAGTCTGACTTAGTCACCCTCGGTAGAGTGCCATAACATCATAGCTCACAGCAACCTCAAACCCTTAGGCTCAAGTGATCCTCTTGCCTCAGCCTCCCAAGTAGATGTGACTACAAGTGCCCACCACTTTACTCAGCTTTTTTTTTTTTTTTTAAGAGATGGGGTCTCTCTCTTGCTCAAGCTGGTCTCAAACTTCTGACACTCAATCCACCTGCCTCACCCTCCCAGAGTGCTGGGATTACAGGCGTGAGCCACCATACCCAGCCTTTCTTGACAATTTTATCTCAGTTCTAAAGGGCTTAAACAAGGATGCATATGGTCAGAATTGTTTTATAAACTTTTGTGCCTCTTTCTTTTGCTGTGCACTTTACAATACTGAACACATAGAGATGAGGACAAATATACACTTAAGTCATTAGTGGTTATATGAATTCTGCTTAGATAGCTAGTTGCTTATATGAACGTTGTAAATGACAAGATAAAATAACTAAGTTTGATAAACTCTTCCGTGCCCTGTGAACTTGAGTCCACTTACTATATAACTTGTGACTATTTATTAGTTTTAAAAAATGGGTTTTAAAAGCTGCAAACCATACTTTATTACACATTTCTGAATCATGAGGGGGTAAACTGTGACACACCTCCCTTGTGCGCCACTGAATCTTTTGGAGAGAAAAATTCTGCTATAAAATAAGAGTTTCCAAACTCTTTTTTTTTTTAAAAAGCTTGAATTTTGTTCTGTGATTAACCATCATTCTACAGTCCCTTTTACCCAAGGCATGGTCCCTGGGGCATCTTTTTGAGATTTAGTTTCTGAGAATTTTTCAGCAAACCTCTCTCGTGCTTTGTCCCAGTTTTTTTTGCTCTTGTTCTGCAGAAGGTGCACATCGTCAATCGAGGATGGCTTGCCTGTCCCCAAGCCTGCATGTGTTCGTCGAAGCTGAAGCTGAATCTGTCACCAAAAGTTGAGCAGAGGACTTATTTTAGAGTCTAAACACAATGAAATGTGCTATGTCCAACTTGGTACTCTAACTGTAATATTTTTATTTATTTAAGATTAATGCAAAAGAAAAACCTGTTAAATGTATCAAATACATTGAGGAATATATACACCATTACAAATGGAACATAAACTCATTTTTTTACATTTTCTTTTCTGTTAATAAGCACAGCCAACTTTACAGAAACAGTGCTCCTTATGTCATTCCACTCTAACTAAAAATAAAGCCAACGGACATATTTCAACCTACTGTCCTATCCTCACCTACGTAAGTGAACAGGAAAGTTAAACATTAACAGTCTTAAATGAGATTTTGATTATTTTTATGACAGGAGGGGAGGCCTTCCCACTAGTTTAAGAACATTAATAGCTACCAGTTACTGAGTGCTTAATGTAAAGAACCAGGCTTAAAGGCTTTATCTTCAAGGCATCCCTGAAAAACAGTTCTTATAATCCCCATTTTTACGTAAGAAAACTAATGTCTGCCCAAAGCCACACAGCTAGTGGTTGGTAAGAGCACATATTTGAACCTAGGTTAGACTATAAAACTTTTGTTTTTTACATTGTACCTCAATAAAAATAAGAAAACTCTTATATACATATACCAATCCATCTATTATTTCTTCAGGAACCATGTAGTTATTATGAAAGGTCTCTAGTCAGGCTACTTTTTAGGGTTTTTGTGAAAGATAACCCAAACCTCCTATAAATTCTGAGGCCACAGTTAGAACAATTTGTTTTCCAGATATATTCTCTGCATTGCTTGTTACATGCTCTAATTCTTGAACCTAACAGATTCTCCAGCTAATACAGAATCTGCCTGTTTGTTAAATAATGCTGTGATTGTTCCTGCAATGTTCAGTACCAGGTATGGTAAGGAAGTCATTAAAAAACAACTAAAAGGCTGGGTGCAGTGGCTTACTCCTATAATCCGAGCACTTTCTGAGACCTAGGCAGAAAGACTACTTGAGGCTAGGCATTCCAGACCAGCCTAAGCAAGAATGAGACCCCATCTCTACAAAAAAATAGAGAAATTAGCCAGGCATGGTGGTACATGCCTCTAGTCCCAGCAACTTGGGAGGCAGAAAGGATCACATGAACCCAGGAATCTGAGGTTGCAGTGAGTTATAACACCACTGCACTCTAGTCCAGTGATAGAGAAAACCCTGTCTCTTTTACAGACACACACACACACACATATAAAAACAAAAAACCTAAAAGATACAGGAACTTTTGGCTCAGGAAATGGCACTTACTATCCTAGCTTTGGCATAGGAAAAAACTCTAAAACAAGGATTTCTAAGAACATAAAATATAAAACATGCATATATATTTGATAATTGTGTACATCACAAAGGTATTAAGCATGTCTATTTTTGCTTGCTGCAATAATATTCCTAATGCTTCAGGCAATGCCTGGCACATTACGGTACATAGTAATGTCTGCTGTAAGAATGAATGAATGAAAAGAAAACTTAGGTCTTACCGGAGTTTTCATTCCTCCACCATCCTTTCCCAGTCCCTCTCCTTTTTTCCAACCCATCTTCTCCAACATCTTCCGACCTTTATTGCTATCAGTGATTTCACTTTGAGAAACATTGAGAAGACAGCTGATTTAGGACCTTTCAGGCCACATTTATAATAAATTCATGAATTAAAAATAATGAGTGAAACTCCTTTAGGAAACTGTTTGGCATTACCTAATAAAGTCGAAGGCACACAAATTCTATGCCTGCATATACCACTCAACAGTATGTAAATATGTGCCATGTTCCTCTAGGAAATCTCACAGCAACAAACCAGAAACAATCCAGATGCCCATCAATGGTAAAATGGGTAAACTGTTGTACAGTCATACAATAGCGTATCATACAACAATAAAAATAATGTGAAACAAAAAGAATATATACGCAAAATAAACAGAGTTTAAGTTTAAAATAAGTGAAATTAACCTACTGCTGTCAGGCTGCTGGTTACCTCCGGGGAAGGCAGTGATTAAGAAAGGCCATAAGGAAGGTAGGCTTTTTTCAGTTTTTATTTTCAGCCTGCATCATGCTTCATAGCTATATATTTATAATTTGTGTACTTTCTGTAAATAGGTTATACATCAATTAAAAGAGTAAAATAAAATAAAACCTCTCACTAACTGTATTTTGTCCTATGGTTTTGTATTCTGCTAATTTTAGAATTTTTTTTTTTTGCAGTTTTTGGCCGGGGCCGGGTTTGAACCCACCACCTCTGGTATATGGGGCTGGCACCCTACTCCTTTGAGACACAGGCACTGCCCAAATTTTAGAATGTTTTAATTTTACGTTCTATCTCATCTTTTCAGTTCTGCAAAATATGCTATAATTACCTTTTTAATAACAATAAAGCAATCACTATCAGTATGTTTCATTTTTTATTTCTACGTTCTTTTTTAATCTAATGTGTGTTGCTTAGTGTATCTAACTTTAATGTCATATTGCATTAGTACTGATGATGGATCTGACTCCATCAATTATAAGATGAAATGTTACTTTACGTACCATTAAAAAAACACTGTCACCATTCATAATTGTAAAACTCTATCACAAGGAGTATCATTGTAGAATCAGTGAAACAGGATATTTAATCAAAATTTTATAATTAGTTACAGTACCAGTCCTATATTAAAGATTTCAATTTTAAATAAACCTCAAGTTTATAATCTGAGAAAGAAAAAAATGTAGCTAATGTATGATTAAATGCACAAATATTATCATATTGTAGGCCACAAAATTACATTTTTCATCTATGTTAAAGCTACTTCACCAAGAGAAAATAAATGAATGAAAAGAAAAATAATTTTTTAAAAAAAGTATTTCAAGGTGAACAAGAACAACACTATTTGAGAGTTAAAATTATTTAAAAATGCCCGTTTATATTAATTTCTTACTAGTCTAGGCTTCTTGAAATCTAGATATATATTCTAGATACCTAATACATAAAAGTATTATACTCACTCAATTGGGTGGCTAGAGTGTTAGCTGTGTATACAGGAGTGTTTAAGTATATATGCTTGTGTGTATTCTCAATTTTCTTCGGAAATATAGAGGTCTAATATTAGAGGGACATGTAAATAGACTTAGTGTTTCCATCTTGTGCTGAAACTATTCCTTTAAAGCAGGGGTCCTCAAACTTTTTAAACATGGGGCCAGTTCACTGTCCTTTAGACCACTGGAGGGCCAGACTTTAGGGCCCGGGACAAGTTGGCTGCTAATAGGACAGGCAGCAGCGGCAAAAACACCCAGCAGGCCGGATAAATGTCCTAGGCAGGCCACATGTGGCCCGTGAGCCGTAGTTTGAGGACCCCTGCTTTAAAGTCTACCTATTAGGATATATAACCCTGTAAGTCACACCACCCTATAAATGTTTTATGGAACAAAGTAAGTTTCAAGCAATTATAATTTAATACTTACGAATGAACAGATGCAGGAGCATCATCTCTTTGGAAAGTTCCTTCACTTCCAATCTGCTCCCTACGTTTTCCAGCTCTATCTTTGTATTTTGGATTTTTCAATGCCTTTTCATCTTCATAGTCTGTATTCTTAAAAAACACAAAATACTCAGGAAAAGAAAGCTGACAAATAAAAATGCAATGTCTATACATTTCCCTTACTTAGCAAATGAGGTTCAGTGTGGTTTTTATAAACAAATAAAACAAGCTATGATAGACAGTTGTGATATTAGATATGCTATTTTTATTTTATCCTCTTTAAAATTTTTATATTTCAAGTTATACACATATTAGAATATAAATGGTAAGAAGATAATACAGTGAAAATATCATGTATTTTGACTTAATGCTGTGTTCTTAAATTGTCATCTGAATTACCAAAATTCAAAGAAAATACAGAACTCCAGAGGTTGGAAAAAAAATCTATTTCCCCTTTTCTCTAAGGAACTAAAAGCTCCAAGGGACCTAAAATAGTTTGATACTATTTCTTGGAAAGGAAAAATACAAAAAGACTTTTAAAAATGAGGAAAAGACAAATATCCTTTTACTCTGGCAATAACAGCTTTTTGTTTGGATACTACTCCATTTATATGACTAATTAGTTACTCAATCAGTACTAAGTAAAGAGTACATCAAGCTCCAAGCTAGGGAATGGAATGCAAAGAAATTTATAATGCCAGAGGGGAAACACACATGATCTTCAGCCTGCTGTGGCTGTATAGTAGTATGGTTCAACAATAAAGGCAGACACCAGGTGTTATAGTGCACAAAGAAGAGGCACTCCGTTCAGTCTGGGGCTCCAGGGAAGGCTTCCCTTTCATTACTGCTTGCTGATCTTTATATAAAAAGAATGATATTTATCCAGACAGATGCTAGGGTCTGGAGAGCAATTCACAAAAAGTACTACAGAAGGTTTACATAGTTTTGCTTTTAAACAAAGAAGAAAAATATAAAATTAACTATCCTAGTGAGTTTTTTCCCCAGAAGATAATGAAATTGAGCTAAAATTTGAGAAATGCTTTCTTCCCTTCTCATGTCTTCTATTTTCCTCCCAAATCAGCCTACCTGGACTTTTTTTATCATGATTTCTCACCCTTAGTAAAAGCAGAAGAACAAAAAATACAATTTTGCATAAAAATATGTTATTTTAGCAGCAACTTCTTTTTCCACATCTTTATAAAGTATAGAAAATACTGGGCAAATACACTTAAGACCTAAATACTCTATCTAACTTTATTATTTAGTAGCTGATGATCCTAAGCTTTAGTTTCTCAGAAGTAAACTGGAAATACTAATTACCTTCTTGACCTACAAGATGAAATAACTTTTTTAAAATTCCTCTATTGAGGCAAAATTAACATACAATAAATTATGCATAAAGTGACAAGATATTTTTGAGACTTACATACGTATGAAACTATTACCACCAGCAAGATAATAAACATATCCATCTCGCTCAAAAGTGCCCTGTCCTTCTTTGTAATCTAGCCCTACGGACCTCCCCTATACACATTCCTCCCCCCATGTCCAAGCAACCACTGATCTTCTTTCTGTCACAATACATTAGTTCGCTTTCCTACAAGTTTATATAAATGGTACAAGACAGTTCTCCCCCTTTCTTGCCTGTAGTCTCAAAAATAACTGTAGCATGTGCTGGGAATGCAAGATCCTAAGCTAAGTAGGGACCGGCTGGAATAGCTAGGGCTCTGTTCAGTCCCCACCTAGAAACAGGATATCCTTCAACATTTTAGCCCAGTGAGCCACGTAGCCCTGGGGTATATAGCCCAGGGTAGGCGGCTTTCCAGGGTCCCTCATCTGCTGTGCAAGTGGGGCACACACAGTCAGGATTCCATGTGCCCAAAGGCAGCTTGCTGGGCCTTAGGGACTGGTCCACAAGGAAGCCTGTGCTTCTGTTCCATTGCTGCCTATCTGTAAGTAATAAATCTGCTTCATGTAACTTGTTGCATATGAATGTGTTCTATCCAGAACCCAGACAACTTAGAAACCAGTGCACAGTGAACCTGCTCCATAACTGGAAGCATATCGTATATACTCGTTTAGTCTGGCTTCTTTTACTCAACATAATTATTTTGAGATTCACCCAAGTTGGAGCTTACGTCAATTATTCCTACTTTTTAATTGCTAAATAGCATTTGATCATATGGATATATCACCATTTGTTTAACCATGTATGATACACAGTTGAGTTTTTCCCAGTTTATGGCTATTACAAAAAAATAAAAACAGCTATGAATATTTGCTACTAGTCTTTGTAATGAACATATGCTTGCATTTCTCTTGGGTAAACATATTGGAAGGCAATGGCTGAATCATGAAAGGTGTAAATTTAACTTTTTAAGATACTACCAAACTGGCTCGGCACCTGTGGCTCAATCGGCTAAGGCGCCAGCCACCTACACCTAAGGTGGCGGGTTCGAATCCCCAGCCCGGGCCCGCCAAACAACAATGATGGCTGCAACCAAAAAATGGCCAGGCGTTGTGGCGGGCGCCTGTAGTCCCAGCTACTTGGGAGGCAGAGGCAGGAGACTTGCTTGAGCCCAGGAGTTGGAGGTTGCTGTGAGCGTGATGCCATGGCACTCTACCCAGGGGGATAGCTGGAGGCTCTGTCTCAAAAAAAAAAAGAAAGATACTACCAAACTGTTTTCCTAAGCAACTGTACCACTTCATATTCCCACCAGCACTGAGGCCCAGTTCCTCTACATCCCTTCTAACTCTTGTTATAGTCAGGTTTGACATTTCAGCCATTCTACTAGATGTATAGTGGTATCTCACTGTGGCTTTCATTTGCATTTCTTTGAAGACTGGTGGTATGTGTTTATGTGTCATCTATATATCTTCTTTGGTGGAATGTCTATTCAGATCTTTTGCCCAGTTTTTAAATGAGTTGCTTTCTTATTATTGAGTTTTAAGAGTTTTTAAGTGTTCTAGATGTAAGTCTTTTATCAGATATATGATTTGCAAATATTTTTCCCAGTCAGAGGCTTGTCTTTTCCTTCTCCTAATAGTGTCTTTGGAAGAGTAAAAATCTTCAATTTTGCAAAAGTGCAAATTATCAATTTGTTCTTAGGGATTATGCTTTTGGTGTGATGATTTCTTAGAAATCTTTGCCTTTAAAGAAAAAAAAGGTTTCTAGGAGTTTTTAAAGTTTTAGGTTTTACATTTGTATCTAGGGTTCATTTTCAGTTCATTTTTGTACATAATAGGAGGTACGGATCAATGTTCTTTTATTGTTGTTTTGCATATGGACATCTAATTATTCAAGACTCTTTGTTGGAAAAGATCACCTTTTCTCCACTAAACTGCCTTCTACATCATTGTGGAAACCAGCTGTCCATCCATATCTATAAATGGATCTATCTCTGGAATCATTACTTTCTTCCATTCATTTGTTTATCTTTATGCCAATATAATACTGTCTGAATCACTACAGTTTATAATATGCCTTGAAATCAGAAAGTATTAGTTCTCCAACTATGTTCTTCAGTGGCATCTCTTTTTCCCCCAGAGATACACTCTCACTATGTTGCCCAGGCAGGAATGCACTGGCATAATCATAGCTCAATGCAACCTCAAACTCCTGGCCTCAAGCAATCCCCCACCTCAGCCTCTCAAGTAGCTATTATCACATACACATTATCACTGCACCTAGCTACTTGAATCACATATTAATGCAAGTTTTTGAAAACCAGAAATGGCTATTCAAATGTAGGCTGCTATTGCCATTTTCTATTCCAACCTCAATAGTTTTTAGGTTAAGAATATCAGAACAGTAAATAACTAATAGAAATTACGTAACCTCAAAATCATATTAAGTAACTTTACTTATATAAAAAGTACACTCAACATATCTAAAGGTATATTTTACTTAAAACTGGATATACTACTTAATATTTGAAACAATATTTAACATCTTTACCTGTAAACCATATTTTACTCGTATTTTTTTTAATTCTTTTCTCCTTTCCAATTCTTTTTCCTCCTTAGTTAATGCTGGACCAACTAAAAGGAAAAAAGTTTGGTTAAAAAAATACACTGAAACTGATTTTGGAGAATACTAATGATATTTAACTAACAAAAATTATAAGAGTAACACACTCCAATTAACCATAAATTGCAATAAACATTAATATAAAGGATCTTGGGTTGTGATGATGTCCTTTAAGCATTTTGGTAACTAAATCTACTTAGAAAGTAAACTAAAAAAAACCAAAGATTACAGGGAGATTATGTACCAAAATGAAAAATGAACACCTCAGTTTCTCAATATGGCTATCATAACAGAATCCCAAATGTGGAAATATTAAGTAGATTTTCCAAAGGAATATAGACCAAGTAAAAATAAAAACTGCAAAATCCAAAATTCATGTTATTGTGTAATGTGACATACTCTTTTTATCAGAAAATAAAAAACAATAAACATGCAAACTTGGCATCTAAGGGGAAAATTAATGTGAAAAAGGAAAGATTACCTCTTAGTAGTTCAAAGTATCTATTTACATTTTAGGGACTTTAGATGAATGAATTTAAAGCACAACAGCAATATCCTACAGTGTTATTTATTACATAAAATAACGGTACATACAAACAATATGCCAACACGAATATCAGGAGAACAGAAAACATACCAACCAATAACCCTTAATTTCTTGGCCTATTATTTTCTCTGTTAATATTATATGATTGGGTTTAATTGTGGTTGACTGTTTTCATGCCAGTAAACAGAAGTTAAAAATAAATCAATCTTCATTATGATTATGTTATAATTACTTTTTAAGTTACTTATTTTAATTGACAAAAAATTATACAAATGTAGGCGGCATCCATAGCTCAGTGGGTAGGGCGCCAGCCACATACACCCAGGCTAGCAGGTTTGAACCTGGCCCGGGTCAGCTAAAACAATAATGACAACTGCAACAACAACAATAAAAAAAAACAGGCTC